GAAGAAGAAGAAGAAGAAGAAGAAGAAGAAGAAGAAGAAGAAGAAGAAGAAAAGATTCCAACAAGATGCAGCTATAGTCAGGGGGATGCGTGGTCTCGAGGCATGGTGTCGGCCCCGAGTGCTAGGGGTTTCGGGTTCAATACCTGGTAAGGGCTGGGATTCTAGTATTTCACCTGGTCTCTGGGTAGTGAGATCGGACGCCCGTGTGCATTGTTGCGCACGTAAAAAATCCTTCGGCAGTTGGAAATCGAAAAAAAGTAGCCATACGGCGCTGCCTGGGCAAAATTTAAGTTAAACATTTACCCTAAGTATTTCAGACAGGTGCTACAGAGCCTGTGCACTGTACTGAGCTACTTCGGACACAGACTTGAGTTAGAAGAAAGAACGAAGCACTTGTGGGTTACTTACTACACGTGTGCTATGATGTTGATCTGTTGTTTAAACCTTAAACTACATTTATAGCCATTCCACCGATCTCTGATCGTCTGCCTCCACTCCCAAATACCATTGCTTCAATTGTTTTATTTAGCCAGCTCTCCATAATTATCTCAATTATTTAATAGAACCGCGAAAATGCATTTAAAGGTCTAAAATGCAGTAGGGTGGAGAGGCAGAAGAAACATAATTCCTCCATGGTTTCCGTCGAGCTATCCCACTAAAAATGTTTCCTGTCAATCCTAATTAAAATATGCAAGCGCAGCCTCGTAATTGACACAAGGGGTCCCCTTCACCCGCTGCTCTGGCTCGTCAGCTTAACAGTATAATTGCATAGAGAGACTGTGCCCTGGCGGCCGCAATCGAATTTGTCCATGCCTCCAGCGCCCTTCACTTTTCTCGTCACTGGTCAGTGGGACTAACGAGATGCGACACCTTGACAGAGCCTCGGGCATCGACTTGCCTTCAGAGTTCTGACTGGTTTCAATATGGCTCAGACATTGCGTCCGAACGAGACATTGCTAAACGAGTCATTTTCCTATTAAACGGTTAATATGTATTGTTGCCATTCTTGTTTATCCTTATAATTGTATCACTGGTATTGTCATTGTAAGCTTCTGTTTCAATGCTGCTACATCAAGGACAGTAACTATCCAGGTTTTGAATAGTAAGAGGGTGTTGTGTGGGTAACATTGTGTGGGTACCTTCTGTTATATTACATATATCGTCTATTGTCTTTTAAGTAATGTCGTTTCCTTTATAATGCGTGAAGGATGGATTTTTTTCTTTTTCTTTCTTTCTTTCTTAATTTCTTTCTTTCTTTTTCTCTCTCTCTTTCTTTCTTTCTTTCTTTCTTTCTTTCTTTCTTTCTTTCTTTCTTTCTTTCTTTCTTTCTTTCTTTCTTTCTTTCTTTCTTTCTTTCTTTCTTTCTTTGGATCAAGCTTTTCGTCACTGTATTCTTCTTCTTTCGCATATAATCCAAGTTTAGGACTAATAGCGAGTGTTTAGCAATTTTCTGTTACATGTGCTTTAACTAAGAGGTGCCTTTCGTTTAGTTATATATGTTGTCTCCAGACGATTGTCAAGTGTCAATCTCTTAGGAGTTTGAATGATCGCTTCTGTTTTCCTTTTTTTTTTTCTAATCATTTAATCTTTCTTTCAGTCTTTCTTTCTGTTAGTGTGTTCTTCTTTTTCTCCATATTTTGTCCTCTTTCTTCTTATGCTTTTTCTCCTTACTTTCCACCTCCTCATTCTCCTTCTCTGTGTTTGTTGCATTTATATTCTCATGTCTTCTTCTTCATGTCTTGTGTGGAGTAGACACGGGCAATCACTCTTATTTACTCGTCTCTCATCTATTACAAAAAAATGAATAGAAGCAACCGTCTTAGAACAGTCACAAAATTGTCAACTTCTTCATTGTTCACCCTCTGTAAGCGGCGGCGGAAAGACTTGGTTGTTCGTCCATTTGGACTTTGACTTCAGGGTCAGAGTGTTGCGTGTACATCCGTTTTACTGGCTTATTTGTGTGCAGCTGGCTGTTTCTCGCTGCCCAGGCAGATGCGTTCCGACTTTGAAGGAAGTCCCCAATTAGTCGACTCCCACGCCATGCTTGCTGGTGAGGCAGTGGGTCTATTCTTGTTTGTCCCCCTCAATGGGGCCCTGGAACCCACACGGGGAGGTGATCTAATGAGTGATGCGTTGCAGAAACTATAACGAGAAAAGGCAAGGCAATTATGACCTTTAGAAAAGTCCAGGAAAGAACCCTCTGCCACGCCATTTCAGACCTATATTTTATAGACCAAACGGCACTTGTTGGGTGATGTGGCCAGTATCACACCGGCCGCCTTTACTTCCCAGTATTGTTCTTGGTACCCACTCAAGGCTGGGTAGGCCTGGAAGAGCAAGGTCGTGTTTGAAAGTTTAGAAAAGGGCAGATGTTAACTCACCGATTAAAGAAGATGTCAGCTGCAGTGAGACTAATGGTGTTTGAAACAAAGTGCTGTGTAGAACCTGTGTTGTGAGACTTGGACAGTGAGCAGACAAGTTAAACTTCGTGACTCACATGGTGAAGTGGCTTTTGAGAAGATTGCACAGAATATCAGAGGAGCGGCTGGCCGAACGGTTAGAGCGCTGGGCTTTCAAGCGGGAGGCCTGGGTGGATATGTGACGACACATTAGCTCTATGGTATGGGGTTTGTGCTGTTATTTTTTTCCCCTTTTGAACGCTAAAGTTAGTGTTTTTAGTTTAGTTTTTTTTCCAGTCCGAGATCTCACTCCGTAGAATTAACATTCAAAGGATGAAAATCCATGGTAAGGCTGGTAATCTTTCTTTACTGTCGGGGCAGAACGAAATCCTCTCCTGCACAGTCCGTGGCGACAGCACTAGCCATGCGGCCGTAAATCCTCAGACTGAAAGACCGCCCTGTCTACACCACAAGAGGCAGTAACTTGCAGCTGCAGTTTTGGCACGGAGTATCATTGAATCTAAACAATTCTTCTTCTTTCTTCGCGTTCACCACCTGTAAACTCTGGCGGAAAGTTCTGGTTGTTCATCCACTTCTGAACTGCAGTCCTGTTCCTGAGTGTTGCGTGTGCATCCGTTTTACAAATCTGACTGATTTGTATGCCGACTGCTGGTTCCTTGCCTCTCAGGCAGATGCACTCCGACATTGAAAGAAGCTCCCAATTATTCGACTCTTAAGACATGCTTTTGGGTAGGCAGTGGGTTTGTTCTTGATTTTCCTCTAATAGGGCCCCAGAACCCACACGAGGAAAAACAGTTCGTTCAGTGCTTTTCCTCCTCATCGAGATAGACGAAGGTGGTAAACTTATGAGAACATTTAGCCTCAGACAATGTATTTTCAAGCATGTAATGGCAGACAATGGACTCGAGCACATGACAACAACTGGGAAGAGTGGGGGAAAGAGCTTAGGTGGAAAACAGAGAGATAATTACCCGGATAGCTTGGCCACATGCAACGAGCAAGAAAAGAGAACACAGACGTGATCCGTGATTCTGGTGCTTTTGAGAGATTGGGAAACATGACCGCTTATGTTTACCGGCGGGGCACATGCTGATGATGAAGCAAACACTTACACTGACAACTTCTATATAGGATTTTTTTGGGTGGGGGGGGGGGGGGAGGCACTTTTACACATTTTCTAAGCGGAGGCAGGATATGGGACGCATACATTTTTTTCCCCCCCCCCTTCCCCCACCCCAGGTAGTGGCGCCCCTGCATTGTCCTGACATATATTACAGTTGAATTCGTGTTCTGAGTATATATCGATACAGAGAGAACAACATATAAGTACATATGCGCACAGGATATGAGGCTCGCAAGCTCTCTACACAGAATAGATAGGTCGAACACTCAGATGATGGAGGTAACTACGGCAATAAATTGTCCGGGGGGGAACAAAAACAGGGCTATGTCATTCAATACCTTAATAAAAACTAATTGAAGAAACATTGTAAGTAATTACACAAAATAGGACAGTGAAGGGAATACAAAAAATTCAGGCAGTCAGAAATAACCAAATATGACGTTTTAAAATGTTTCAGCTGATAATACGTATTCTGGTCCATGTAGTTTATACATGAAATGACCCTTGTCCACGCGTTCAGGCATACTGGGCACATAGGGCTAGACCTATATTTTGTATAGATCGGTCGCTCTTTGGTGGGTGATATTTATATAGCCATACCATTATCTTAAAGGCCCCGGAAAAGGGAGTTGGGGTGGATGTGTGACGACAAATGAGCTCTATGGTATGGGGTTTGTGACTGTTGTTATTTTTTTTTTCTCCTTCGAACGCTAAAGTTAAAGTTTTTGGTTTAGTTTTTCAAGTCCGAGATCCCACTCCGTAGAATTAACATCCTAAGGATGAAAATCGAAGAGGTACAAATCCTGGAAACTCTGTTTAATCGTACCAGGAAATGACGAAGTAACCTTCAGTTCGGAGTGATAGGACAAGTTGAAGTCGAAAGGAATAGTTTCATTGCACTAAGTTTTTCCAGTTTATCCACTATGGCACAGTCCCTCTCTGAATAGAACGACTAGGCAACTGCCGACAGTGTCGCACAATAAACAAACTTCCTAGCTCCGGCAACGAACTCCAGATATCATCCTTAAAACCAACCTAATACTCTTTAAGCGCGAGACGAGCGGCTTGATTTCTTCAAAATGCAGAATTCTATCGTTAAAACGCAGTGGGTAGAAATATAACGAAACAAATAGAACAGAGACTTGTTTACGCCAGAATTTGTATTCATTTTCTTATTGCTTTTTTAATTTGTCCCCTTTCGTCTTTTTATATTATTGTATTATTATTATTATTATTATTATTATTATTATTATTATTATTATTATTATTATTATTATTATTTTTATTTTTATTATTATTATTATTATTATTTATTATTATTATTATTATTATTATTATTTCTGATCATTTATGTTTTGCGGGAAACAGGGTTAGCGGTGTTGGCCTACTTTTGTAGGTTGCTAGTTACCTTGATTACACCATCAATAATGCTTTTCTTGTCTTCTTCTTTTTTGCAGAGAGCACCCTGGAATGCCGGGACAGCCGGGTATGCTTCAAGATCCAAACTCACCCAACTCAGATGATATCAAAGAAGAACACAGTCCAGAACCTCTCGGTGGTCAAGGAAAACTAGGCCACCAATCCCCACCGCACCCGTCCGCCATTTACGCCGATTTACAAAAAGCTTCCAGTATGGCCGCATCAGCTTCCGCCGGAAGCATGATGGCGGCTGCGCACAGCATGATGGGAGGTCATCATAACCACGCGCTAGGGCATATGGGTCACCATCTATCAAATGCGGGAGCAGTGGTGAATCCTGCAATCAATCATATGCTACAGGAGTATCAGACTTTATGACAATAATGGACGACAGCGTCCCTTCAAGTCAGTTTGCCTGCGTCGTGGCAGCGTCTAATGAACAACAATGTGTGTACATAATTCAGTAATATCGGTGTGATCGAAGAAAAAGCCATTGAGCTGTGTGATGACTACCACACAATATCTACACAATACCTATATGTTTACTGATTGTGTGTGATTTTATTTTATTGGCTTTCCTCTTTGAAGATCGATGGCAATACACTGGGGTGTCAATTCAAATGAAGATTCTAGACGTTATGTGTATCATTACTCTACCAAGATAGTACTCCTTGTCGTATCTTCACTGACGCCTAAGTCAGTGTTATCATTTGATCAACCAGCCAAAATTTACATGACGCAGTTCTAGAACAGAAGACTGGTAGAAATAAGATGGACGTATCGCTACAACAGAAAGACTATACATTATTCCATCAAGGTGGCAATACGCCTTGTTTATCTCCACTGACGCCCGAGTCAGTGTTATCATTTAATCCAGTAGCTATATGTGACGAAGTCTTGAGAATACCGATGAAAAATCTATGGGCGTGTTGCTACAAGACAGAATAGACCTTGTATATATCATTACAGTACAGGGGTGGGAATACCACTTGTGTATCTTTACCGACTCTTTTGTCAGTGTCATCATTTCATCAGCTTGCCATAAGAACACGAAGCAGTCTTTAAACATCAGAACATCAATATCAGGAGACTGTAGTCATTTCAACAGAAAACTCTAGAATGTACCCTACCAAGAAGTACTTTGATATATCTCGTGTCTCCACTGACTTTTCAGCCAGCGTTGATCAACACACGACGCATACCCAACGCAGTCTTTAAACATCCCAACGTCAAGTACAATACACCGCGAAGTATTACTTCAACAGAGAACTCCATAATTCACCCTGCCATCTGATATCGTGTGTACCTTCACTAAATCTTGGATTAGTTTTATCATTTGACTAACCAGTCAAAGCACAGGGCACAGTCTTTGATTATCAGAACATCGACGCCCATACACTAGGAGACATTGTTTCAAAAGAGAAGTCTAGAATCAGCCCTACCAAGAACTACATTGAGACATCTTGTGTATCTTCAATGACTGTTCAGCTATCATTTGATCAACTTGTCATCCGTACATCCGTACAGTATTTGACCATACACCAAGAGTCACATTTCAACGGAGAACTCTAGAATTTAGTCGACCAAGAAGTATTTGGTGATATCTGTGTACCTTCCCTATCTTCCCTTCTTGAATCATTGTTATTTGATCAACTAGTCATCCGTGCATGGCGCAGTATTTGACCATACACCAAAAAGCATAATTTCAACGGAGAACTCTAGAATTTAGTCGACCAAGAAGTATTTGGTTATATCTGTGTACTTTCCCTACTGTTGAATCATTGTTATCATTTGATCAATTACCTATATGTGCACAACACAGTCATGTAACATCAGAACATCAATGACTGATTGGTGTCACTTTAACGTAAAACTCTGTAAGTTATGTGTACCAAGAGATATTTTAGACACTATCTTTCAAACTCTTCGGTCAGTGTTATCAGGGATGTTCGTCAAACAGTTGTCTGAAAAGCGTACGTGTTCACATGTTGATGCTTCACGAAATAAGCCAGATCTGTCAATCGGATATGCCTGCAAAACTCAAGTTTTGTAACAAGATTCCAGAAGTGGACGAAAAACCAGAACTTTGTGTCGGGGTTTACAATCGGTGCACGCAAAGAAGAAGAGGAAGAAAAAGAAGAAGAAGAAGCTGTTTCACATGATCCTGTGAGTTTACAAAGGAAAATTTACCAAAGTCGATGTTCGCTATGGTCAGTGGACTTGAGAAGGGATGTCGTCAATTCAATGTTTCAGATGCCACTGCGGATTTCGCAGAGACGTTCACCAAGTCAGTGTCGCTCATGGTGCTGTGGACTTGCCGCTACAGAATCTATATGGTTTCGCTTGTCACTGTGGTCTTTTGCTCTTGGGGGTTTTGATGTCCATGAAAGGTGGGGTGGAATGGGGGGGGGGGGGGGGGGCTAAATGCACCTTGCCAAGCATATCGTAAAATTTGAAAAATTAAGGATTTTGTTAAAACCGATTGTGATGGACTGAAAAGTGCAGATATCACAGCCTAGCTGTAAACTACAAAAAAGGGAAACTACACTTTTAAGAATGAACGCACAGGAAGAAGAAGACTGAGCAGTGTTCTCCATACCGATGTTTCACATTGCATTGCGGAGCGACTGATGAAGCGATGTTCGGCATCTTTGATGGGTCTCATGTAAAGAGACACGGTGCTCGCACTATATTCAAACTGAGGCCATTAACTTCTTCTTCTTCTTTTCTTCTTCTTCTTAGCGCTCACTGGCTGTAATCTACAATGGAATGTTCTGGTTGTTCGTCCATTCCTGAACATTTGGTCTCGATCCAGAACTTAAGTTTTATGTGCACATCCGTTTTACAGATTTAGCTTATCTGTATAGAGGTTGTTGGTGCCCTGCCTCCTATCAGAGACAAACGCACTCTGACTCTGAAGGAAACACTCCTTTTTAAGTCGCCTTCTACGACATGCTTGTTAGAGAGCAGCGAATCAATTCATTGTTCTCCAGAATGTAGCCGTTGAACCCACAAGAGGGGAAGCAACTAACAAAGAAATAAAGTATTTCTACATGGTATATTTGTGCCAGAGATGAATGATCTCCCCGTGTTTCATACCTGATATTCTTCTTCGTTGACTAAATCAGTGAAGGATGTCAGTATATTGAGGTGCGGCTCAGTGCTAAGAACTCAGAACTGGTTTCTCATGATCAAAGGGGAGGGGGTCAAGTTGAAATTGTAGGCTGAGAAATAAGATTTTTAATTTTGATATTTTTTTTTGTTCTTAAGGTAAAAATAACTCCGTAACTTGCACAGTTCGTGGCAGCTGCACTAGCCACACGGGCTTTAATGCCTAGGATAAAAATGACCTCCTCCCCAACCCCACATTATGTTGCACACATATCACACACACACATATATATGCATCACACACATACAGCACACATATATCACACACACACATATATACATCACACACACATACAGCACACATATATCACACACACACATATATACATCACACACATTCAGCACACATATATCACACACACACATATATACATCACACACATACAGCACACATATATCACACACACACATATATACATCACACACATACAGCA